ACTCTCGTTGTCACCCTCATTCCCGTCTCATACCTTACAAAACGTTGAGGAATTCTTTAAGCCTGTCTTGAAGGGTTGAGGTCGCCGATATTAACCTTGTTAGTTCGAATTTCGGCCGGCATTGCTAACGCTAGCCTCAATGTTCTGCAGCCTTTACAGTATTCCGAGATACCGTCGACTTATGACATTTCTTATTCTCATAGTACCGTCAGGCTATCGTCATCAGGAAACATTCATCTGTGCACAACTGACTTAAACCTAATTGCATACAAAGCCCACAATCTCCAACAACAAGATGCCTCAGATGGTGGCCTGCATCAAGCATCGGGACGGATGCCGATAACCGGTGAGGTGGGTGATGAAAGCAAAAGACGTATCACAAAAACCATCGGGAGGTTGTAGGAGTAGCGGAAGATTGTGGGCGCTTTATCACCGAAGTCGAGGTTGAGGTCATCACCATGATTTGAGGTCAACTGGTCAAGTGAGCGGCACGATCTAACTTGAGTCGATACGCCGAGAACTCATATCCGGTAGCGGCAGGGTGCAAGTCTGCATCCCAACAGTGCGGTGCCGATATACTCAATATCAAGCCAGCTGGATGTCGAGACCTTGGAACTTCTCTCGGAGTCGACCTGCCTCATCACCCAGAGAGCCAAGCATCTATGTACGGTAGGTCAGCGCATGACTGGAGGGTCAAGTGAGCAGCATCAACTCCGATCGGTACTCATATTTCCCACCACTGAGGGAGTGCGCCACAGTCTCTTGTTACCGGACAGCATTGAAACCCTTTACGCCACAAGCACCCTCGTTCGACGGGATGTGGGTGGTCAAAGTCCAAATTGGGCGCTAAAGCAGACCAAGTTAGGATTTATGCTATCATAGGGGGCCCAAGCCAAAAGAAATCGGCGTCAAATGACGACTGGCTTGGTCGTTGCTCACGTCTTTCATAATTGGTAGAGCGCAACCCTTTCACGGTATAACTTCGGCATAAATATACCGATAGGAGAAGGCTTAAGGTCGTGGAAATCTGGGGCTTGATGCAACCTTCGTGAATTCAGGAATACCTACTTTGGTCCTGCTGACATATTTCGAGTCATCATCAGAGTGGCATTTCCATATTTCCTCCTACCGAGACCCGAGCTGACATTAGACTCAACCAAACGATCAACTCTATTTGTGGTTCGAGGCTTTCTACACCGCAAGAGACCTGAGATTGACCTCATATCATCACTTCAGGGAAGCATATGTATCGATATTGGCACCGCTACGCCAACAATCAGGTAAGAACTCCGGCCGCTGTCAGAGTAGCAGTCAGTTCAGTCAACCAGATATTCTCCCAGTATCTGACTGTTGGTATATCTGCCCGTCTAACTGGAGGGAGTGGCCACTTCTTTCCGTGAGGCCTACGGATCGTTACCGACGAGTCACGATCCCGAGACACTACTATTCAACTATTGGAACCCTCGCAGCGGTTTCTTGGATCGCTACCGTGGTCTGCTGGGGAAGTCGCTGCCGAGTGGTCATCGTGACTTCAAGGCACCATCTTCGATTACCATTATGTTAGCTAGAGGTACCAAGTCTTCGCGCGTCTCGTCACCACACGGCTCCTCTCGCCCTCGTTGGTTCAGCAGCCCTCGCATCCACGGACAGGGACCGTAACAAAGCTGAAGTATAGTCTTATGATACCGAGACATGTAGCCAAAGGGATAGACGAGGACGTAAAATAGTTCTCACTCGTCAGTAACATTATGTCCCATGTGCGGGCGTGACTGGAAATACCATACCGTGAAGTGAAGTGACGGCAATTGACGATATTGCCCACTATTTTAGCTCATTATACCGGAGATTATGATGGATAAGTAGGTGTAGTGTAAACCCGTTACTTTTCTTCTTCAGGCGTTTGCAAATCTTCCTCATCAGCAGAGGGACGGGACTGCAGATGTCCAGCTTGCAGAATGGGGCAACTTCGTCCCTCAATGATGAGATGCCTGCCAGATCTCAAATGCGCCATCTAGCAAGTAAGACAAGCTGCTGGGGGACAGCCAGAGTGACGGGAAGAAGGAGTAGGTCAAACTGATGTCTTAGCGACTGGATTGTCCAATCTCATCACCGCTCGCGAAGTGGAAGGATTCAAGCGTACCTCTAGGAAAGGGAAGTAAAGAATGGAGGAAGGAGCGAGCATCTCTGCAATGTACCTCTACAGGTGAGCAGCTGCCGGCTTCATGATCTGCAACCCGATGATATCTCAAGAAAAGAGCGCTTGTGATACTTGGCGGATGAGCGGCATGGAAGGGAGGTAGCGACCCTGGTAGCTTCCTTTCCCATGAGCGCGCATTGATGACTGTTTCGCTCCATCAACCATCATTGAAACCAAGAAAGGAGCCATGCGTCGGAGACCGCTCGTGTCTCAACCACAGGGGCATGTCCGGATATGATCACGCTCCGAGGACGGACTGTTTGGCTTATTCGTGCAGTGCTTGAAGGAGCTGCACCGGGCTGTAGGTAATCGAGAGAAACTGACCAGTACTCCAGTTTCAGTGTCATAGCTTGACGTACTCCGACCGAAGATGAAGGCGATGTGGAGATTGGACCGATATCCCGCCCGTGAACACAGACAAGTGAGACCTACTGCAATGAGATCGCGACAACCGACGGGAGTGTTGAAGGTAGAATCTGGGAAGGGGAAAGGGGAAGAAGGAACGCACTGGTGAGAAGGACGCAACCTATGCAGGCTTGAGCATAGTTACCCCTAGACATACCATGGCAACAAATCATGACAGACTCACGCAATAAGGTAAGCTCATGGTCTTGATTGCGGAATGCGGCTTCGCGTGTCTTACAAGTCCACCTCCCGTCGAGACAGATCGGGCCGCAAGACGGAGTGATAAAACAGCGGGCCTCTCATCAAATTGAGAGAACTCTCAGTGACTTATTCTTGAGAAGAAAGAAATTCGAAAGTTTGTCGGGCTACATTTGATGGGTACAAGTAATTCCTTCGGACGCCATTCTCAGTCCAAGCTCCAAGTAGTTTTATTTTCATTTTTTTCTCTTGGGATGGTGGGCATGCAGTGGGAGACAGGCTCGAATCAAAACCGCACGATCGGGAAATGGCATGGAATTCGCAAGGGAAAGAACGACACGATCGAGAGTTTCACAGTTACAGACGAGCACACGCACCTTCCTTGTGCACCTGACTAGACTACGAGCTTGGTGATCCGCTAACAGTAGGTAATGTTCATGAAGGGAAACAGCTACCCAAGAAATTGGTATTGAACTAGACTTGATGATGCCTGCGGCAGGTGGGCGAAACGAACATGTCTTTCGAAGTTGCTGCCCGGTTCAGACTCACGGTCGTACACCTTGATGGCCTGGGCTCAATGAGCGACCTGAAGTCGAAGGATATCTACTACCTAACGTCAACAATCTAGTATCACTGCCCCGGTAAGTAACGCAGAACAAGGCTAGCGTATCTAGAGGTAGGAGCCATCACCAATGCACCTCATACTTAATCCCAATTGCAATTCACTATCAACACCTTCAAAAAAAATCAACCGATCCTATCTCACCAGTGTCGTGATACCCGAAAAAGCACTTGTAGATACCCCATTGCGTTCACCAACGAACTCCGTGATATCAACACCATGCCAAGCATCACGAGATTCTGCCGCACTTCAGCCTTGACAGGGACAGTTTGACTGCCCACGCTTGCTTACCTTACCTACCCTACTCATGAACAAACACTTCAATTTCGTGTTTAGCTGCGCTCAGCACTCATTACCACACTACCACAATCTCCTCCATTAATAGCACATCACTGCTGACTGCAGGCAAAACAGACCTAAGTAGCGTCTTTCTTGATGACTTCGGTAGCGCAGCATCGTCTGACCTGCCTGGTGCAAGGGTTTCCGACTAAACTTAACGCGCCAAGGTAACCTCTGGCCCTCTCCTTTGCCGCCTACATCGCTCGGAAGATTCTCATGGCAGCATTTGAATATCTAGATTGCTTCCGACGTGTGAGATGGGCAGGTAATACCGGACTCGGTATCCTGACGACGGAATCTGTGATATATACCCAATCCTGTATGATCTGGACAGTCACAGTAGTGATTGATCAACATGCATGAAGCCAGGATTAATTTCGTCGTGTCGCCGAATCTGGGCCGTGCGGAAAACGCTACACATTGATGTCAAAAATCATGATTAGGGAGATAACATTGACAGTTCAAGAAGAGCTAACTAACTCGGGTTATCGCCTGCATCGAGCATCCTTGACATCGTCCTTCTGGCCCTGGGGACTGACGATAGCGAACGTGGTCTAGATGTGTGCCAGGATGAGACATGGTTGAACAAAGCCAATGATAGTCAACGATACCTCTCGTCGCGTAAGGTGAAAATCGTCAATGAATGACCATGAGAGATGCGACAAGCCAGCCCTTACTGGAACACTTTAGTGGTGTTCATGATTATGATGGATTTTGGTGTTGATGGCCCTGGTGATGGCCTGCGAGCACATGGCCATTGGAGGAAGGGAGACGGAGAACGATGTCAAGCGGCAGCGTCAATTGACTTCACGATCAACGCATGTCACGATCAGCGGATATTGCGATGAATGCATGCCACGATCAATCCATATCACGACACCATTCACGATTGAACAGACCATGCAAGAAAGGCCAATTGAACAAACCAAAAAGACATTAAACGCCTTCCCCATGCAATTTTCTAAGGTAATCCATTAACGCATCCCAATGCTTTTCTATCTCTTTCCACATCTATTACAACCATGCTGGTACATATTAGGTAGCTAGTATATACAGCGAAATATTATGCCAGCCAACAACAACCCGTTAGTTGACACCATCATTTCCCCCTTTCAACCCCTTTTGTTTGTTTGTTTCACACCGATGGATGGGCTTTGGGCGGGATGAACGAGGTGCGCATCCCATTAAGCTTGACCGCCCATCGCTCGGTGCCAAGACCACTTTATGCTAACTGGTCGCTTAAGCAAGGACGGCAACGAGGCCGACGGCGAGAGCGAGGAAAGAACCGCTCTGGAGCTTGCCAGCGGCGCCGGTGGGGGCAGCAGTGGCGGAAGCAGAGCCGGAAGCGGTAGCAGTAGAGGAGCCAGTGACGGTAGCGAGAGTGGAAGCGCCGCTGACGGAGGAGACAGCGGAAGCGGAGGAGCTCTCCTCGGAGTCAGACTCGGAAGCGCTAGCAGTAGCGGAAACAGACTCGGAAGCGGTGACGAGAGTGGCAGCAGAGGTGGTCTTGGTAGCGGCGCCCTTGGTGGTGGTCTCCTTCTTGTCATCCTCGGAGTTCTTGACCTCGAACTGCTCGGACTGGGCGAGGATGCCGGTGCTCTGGCTCTCGACGGACTGGAAGTTGAACTGGAAGGCGGAGTCGTTGGGGACGTCGGACTCGGAGATGATGATGGAGCCCTTGGTCAGGTCAACCTCGCCGAGGTCCTTGGAGTAGGGGGTGTGGCCGGAGGCCATGTTGACGAGGACCAAGTGAGCGGACTTGGGGTCGGTGTTGACGGTGGTCCAGGACACCTCAACGCCGGACTTGACGTCGACAACGTCGTTCTTCTTGGGGTGGGTGATCTGGATGGCCAAGGCAGAGGTGGCGAAAAGGGCCTGGAGGAGGGTGGTGGTGGAACGCATATTGGCGGTTGAGTTTGGTTGTTTTGGAGGTATTAGATGTGGGTGATTAGGTTCGAGATTTCGAAGATGGCGAAGACGATTAAGGTCTTTGGTGTTGAGCGAGTGTAATAGTTGACTGATGTCGAAAGAGCGGATGTGTGACTTGCGGACTGAAAACGAAGGAAGGTCTGCGAGTTGGAACCGGTGTAAAAAGAGCGTACGGTTTTGAAGTTAGCAAGTTTGATGGAGAAAGAAGGAATGGATTCATTGATGGAAATATGGAACTGATGGAGACAATGGATGGAGAACGAGAAACACGTCGAACGCCGGAACACGGATGTCATGGATTCATGGGTCCTCGTCTCGTCTCGCAAAAAGAGAGTGGAGATATCAAAAGAAGAGCTTGTTTGATCCACCTGGATCTTCTTTCGGCCAATGGCTCGCCTCGAATTCGACCTGTCGGATCATCATCACAAGTCGAATGCAGGAACCACAGCGGATTGCAACGAACCTGGGTTGGCGGAAATCCCCACCATTGGTCGACGGGCACCATGTGGCGTCCATAGTGTACCCGTTATGGCTTGTCGAACACGAGCTTTTCGATATCGGGCTTTCTCCTTCTGGGAGACCTCGCCCTACTCGTCCACAACTGGAACCAGTCGTGACAGTTCGCTTGCATTGTCAACTGGAACGAGTTGAAAAGGTCTTGCCTGGCTTGGTAGTGGACACGATAGTGGACCTGTCAAGGCCTGTCCGATTCGAGTCAGGAACCCAGACCTAGAGATGTCCATATCCAAGGATGCTTCGTAAAATGCCTCTTGGCCCTTTGGGAGGGAGGCGAGTTGTCCGGCGTTGTCTTTTCGAGTCCAGTCGCATCCAGATGCACAATGTCTTGAAGATGCGATAGTGGTCAAGTCCCGTGAGAGTCATAGTAGTGTAGTCCCAATGATTGACCAATTCGAAACAACCCAACCAAATTATGAATCTCGCGTCTGATATCGATGGCCGGTCCTAAGAAATTGGGGTCGTCGTAGGGGGTCTGGGGGTCCGTGTTGTGCGATCCTCGGGCGACATTTTCTCGAGTTTGTCGGTGCCTTGTCACTGCCTGTCAGCCACCCACAGCACTTCTGTCAGGTGGTTCTCAGTCAGGGGCATCCCTGGGGGACAGTGGAGATGAAAAAGCGACCAACGCAAGGGACACTGGATGTCAATGACTGGTTCACAGTGATCGACCCCTGACGATCCGAGCTTGGGTGTGGTTCAGTCCAAGAAATGGTGCCGGACTTCCCGTCGAAGAAGTTCTTGCCCGAGGTCTCATCGAGATACAATGGAGCCGCTCGTACGCGATGATGGATACGATCCTGTTGAAAGAGAATTGGTGGTTGCCTGGAAAGACAAGAAAGAATGGTCTGGATGACGATGAAATTGATTGTTGGAGGCTGAAAGGTTTGGGGACGGGAGATGGAAGCACGGCAATAAGGCAATTGTACGTGTACTATCAGATTCTGATGAGACTTGCTGCCGCATGTGTTAAGCGAGCTCTGTGCCTGCTGCTCCACTTTCCCACTCGCTCCTGCCAGGTCTTCTGAAAATGGAAAGGAACGCTGCTGGACACTAACAAATATTGGCGTGTATTCAGGCAGAATGTGTTAACAAACTGCACGCTGTAACTTGGAGTCCTGCCCTGCTGTGAAAGTCGTGAAAATCTCCTCTCGCTCGCTGTCATCCGACTTCTCGTTTTCCTTCTTTTTCTCGTCGCCGATGGACTCGCCGTCTTCCACATTCGTATCCGCCACTCGCTTCCATTTTCGTCACCTTTGCCCGCGATCACGAACGGCTTTCTGTGCCGACAGTTTATGCATGAATGCTACGGCTTGTACGGGATTTCCACCAAAGCGGCTTTTCTTCCGCTTTTTCAGTTTCCGACGTCATGGCTTGTTGTCGTTTTCTTGACTGGCCGAGAAGCCAATTTCTTTTTCTGGATCACTGACTGATTCACGAGGGAGGGCCACTACACTGATTCACCGGATTCACCGATTGACCGGACCAGACCGAGCAGAGCATGACAGACGATGGTTCAAGCATTGAGGCTGTGTCGATCCGTAACGGCCCTTTTCTTGGGCTGTTCTTGTCCTACACTACACAACACCCACCCACTGACCGACGACCGGGACTGTGGGAGGGAGTGTTCACCCACCTACGCCGACAAGACGAGACACATGAACCACGAGGTTGTGCTGTCTTGGCCGCGCTCATTGGCGGTTGGCGATGCCGGGATCTTGCTGGCCGGGATGTTCTAGAACTCTTCCCTGCAGTGGCTCTTGGCCCTGCAACATCACTGGAATATCACTGAAAAACACCAAGCATTCATAGGCCTTGTGGTCATCACGATGAAGACGGCAGCGGGAGCATTCACATCACGGTTTCACTTTGGCGTCGCCTTCAACACGGAAAATGTCAAGCAAAGTAGCGGATGAATGATGAAGGTCTAGTGTCCTGATCAGTCACATCAAGTCCCAGTCACAAGTTCGAAATGCTCTTTTCACACAGTTCCAAGCTTCACATGTTCTTATTTCTACCTTATCAATTGCTGTCGCTCCTTGCCCCGACATTTCCCAATAGCCGCTCGCCACTTTTCCTCTTCAATATCGCTCATCGATCAGTTCATCTCGTCCTTCTGTTAACATGTCATCCCTTTACTTACCAATTATCTTTCTGTTCATCTCCTTACTCAAACACGGACCCCTTGCAAGATGGACCTTTGATCTTTTCTTGTATCGTCCGAGGAACTTGGCTTTCAAGCTATGTGCGCTCCCTTTCGAAGTTGGTCTAGGATTGGCGACGATAGTTGCGGAAGTCCTCGGGAGTCTTCAGCCTCATGGGAGCGATGCCCTGGTCAGGCGTTCTGGTGGCAGGGCTTGGGGAGGATTTGCAACCGGTATATTGTTGGACACTGGACGTAGTCGCTGTGGTGATCTCGGTGGCTACTTTGCCGTCGTGGAATATGTTGGTGCGGTCTGTGGTGCCAGTGATAGTCGTCTTGACGGCCTCGGGCAAGCGCTCCTTGGTTGGATAGTTGCCATGGCCGAGCTGTTGGACCCACAACTCGAGATATTCGTGCACGTCGGGCGTCTCGATATCGATCTCGATCGGCGCGCTGGTGTCCTTCTTGCCCACAGAGTTCGAATTTTTGTCGAAGACGGAGGCATGCTTGGTACTGTTCTCGAGACTCATGGCCCATTCGTCGAGACAGTCGTAGACGGCTTGGTTCTGCTCAACATCGATCAAGGCGTTGTTGCCCTCGGGCCTGTTGCTGGTTGTCATTTTTGTGCCCTCTTCGAGCGAATGGCCGCTTTCTTTCTGCTGCTGCCCATCAAGGCGGATCGCCCATTCGCCCAGGCAGTCATAAACATCGGGCTCTTCCGTTGGCTCGGTCGACTGGCTGTTGTCCTCGTGCGCAGTGGAGGATGCGATCTTCGCCGGGGACTTCTGGAGTGATGATTCGCGAAGCTCATACCCCTCTCTGAATGCCTTTGCCCACATCGTCGCACGGGTGAGAACGTCCAGCTCATTCTCATCTCTCTCTTCTTGTCCTTCCTCAGGGTTCTCGGTCTGCTGTCCTTCCTGCTCGCGCCAGAGAGCATGTACATCCCGAGCCAGTGGCTCATTTCCACCCAACTCCTCCAGCATTGCCTGGTAGATTCGTTCCTTGCGTGCCTTTCGCTCCTGATGTGCACGGAAGCGATGGTACATATCCCAAGCCGCTTCGTGATTAGCTCCATCTCCTTCGAGGAACACTTCGTAGACTTGTTGTTATGCGGGAACTTCTACCCCTTCCTCAGCGGCGTCTTCCTCGTCTCACTCGCCCTCGAAGACCCCCCAAACACCATCTCGCTTCTCGACGACCATGTTCCACTCAACGTCCACGCCATCGAAGGAAAGGATGCCCCCATCTTGCTTGGGGTCACCCGTCACCAGGATCATGTGCGAGTTGGGAACGTGGTTTCCATGAACCTCGGGATTGTGATCGTCATACACGATCCAATAGACATAATGAGTGCCATGGCCGGCCTCACGTCGTTCGAGTATGATTTTGTGACGTTCTTTGGAAAGGAGGATCTTGCGAGGAGGGGTTTGTGGCACGAGAATCTTGACGTCCCACTCGTCGTCAAAGTTGGGGACGATAGGAGCGGAGTGAGGGTTCATGTGGTGCTAGGTAATCTGGTCGCGCCAGGGAAAATACAGAATAGGTGAGGGAGGCGGAGGAGTGGCGATGTCCGACTTGGAGGAAGAGCTGAGAGAATGACCGTGGATGGAGGTTGTTGGGTCCGATGGAGGCAGATTAACGGGGGTGGTAGGTCGGGACGCCATGATGTATGTGGCGATGATGTCGGGTATATGTTATATGTCTACAGGTTTGTGATTTGTTGTCAACTTTTATTGTTGTTTTTGGCTTGAGGACATGGCTTCTCGATGTCGATATTGCTAACTCGTCGACGTATGGTCGATGGATTGTAGTGGATGCAGACTTGTATGGAGTCGTCGGTTGATTGGGATGGTAGCTTGTGGTCATGTGGTCAAGACCCAAGCTTGGGTGATTTACTGTGCGGTTATTGACAGCGATTATCGACTGGTCGGTTGCAGGTGTGTTAGTTACCATATTACAGTGTCAGATGATGGAAGACTACTAACCTTGAGGTACACTGTTCGCGATGACAATGGTCTCGATGAGACGTTGCAATGACAGATGGTTGTCTTAGTAAGTGGTGATGAGTGCGTTGGGATGTGGTGATGAGATGGGGTGCGGTGTGGTGTTGACGTTTGGGAGAAGATTGGCTAACCAGATGCAGCCCGGAAGAAGTAAATATATAAGGTGGCCCCGCAGCTCCAAAGCCAGTCTGTGAATGTTGATATTTTCACAGTCGCCGGCATGCGAAATCGCTAACCTTGGTGATTTTCAGCCAAGCTAGTCCTGAAGCTTGGTGTTATCAACCGACAGCTCGGGTGAATACTGCGGCTGTTCACGGAATGTCATGTGCTTTTCGTCCGAACCCCGAACAGGACACCACTGCAGCTAAGAACATTCCTCTGCAGTGGCTCTTGGGCTGCAACGTCATTGACACTCAAACGTCACAGGAAAACACCAAGCATCGCTGGCCCAGTGGCCATCACGGATTCGCGAATGGGCAGCAACGGAAACATTCACATGACGGTTCGCTTTGGAGCCATTTGAGCAGAGTGTGGTTCTATATAGCAAGTGCCTATCCCCCATATGTAACACCCTCCTCGTTGACAAGTTTATCCACCCGTTCCCGCCCCTGTGTTTGCTCCTACAACTGACACTCGCTTGCGGACCATTAACTCCTTTCCTTCATACTCATTGCTGAGTTAGTGCTTCTTCAAAACCATCCTCCCAGACCGTCTTTGCTTCCCGAGCTCATCGATCCCATTGGCCTTATCCCAATCCACCTTCATGTCCGTAATAAGCATGCCAAGCTGCCCTCCTTCAATAACCAGAGCTGTCCCCGCATGATCTGATATCCTTCCCGTATCTCCAGAACTTCCCCTGCTTCAGATGATATGGTTTTCTTTCCCCTATGGCGATATGGCTCTTCGAAGTTTGGACTTGGCTGGCTGAGAGGCCATATGGCGCGCTTGTTGTGGATTTGGCCGATTATCTTGTGCTGTTATTTTTGGATATCAAGCTGTGGAAAACGGTCGGCCAAGTCCATGATGATAACCCGTTATCCCTTCCTCTTCTTTCCCACGTCCGCCTCGCTCTGATCCTATCCCACCTTCTTCTGTTTTTTGCTTTTTCGGGCTCGGGGTCCAGAAGGCAGTGCCCGGATACGGCTTCTCACGCAGCGGTTAAAGCTTCTTCTTCCCCTTGAAACGACACCTGCCATTGCATCTCCATGATCGCCCATGGCTCTCGATTTGCTGGCACTGGTCATAGAACCAGAGGCGAGGAAGATCTTTATACCTGGCGAAGTCCTCGGGAGTCTTCAGGCGAAGCGGAGCGCCGAGAGAATGGTTGTTATCTTGCTCGGGCGTAATTGCCGCCGTGGTGTTTGTGGTTTTGCTGTTGCCGTCGTAGAAGATGTCGGTATTGCTGCTGTTGGTGGCTGTTGTCTCAGAGTAGGACTCTCTGAGGGTAGCATCATCAGCAGCGTTGTGGCCGTCGTAGAAGATGTCTGAAGCGGCGGTCACTATTGCTTTTGTGCGTAAGCCTTTGAGGGGACTGTGATCACCAGCGTGGTCACAGCCAAAAACGATGGCCGAGGTGATGGTAGTATTTGTCTCCGAGTGAAGGATCTCGATGAGAGTGTCGTTACTGGCGTTATCGTCAAACTGCTTTGCCCATAAGTCAAGGCATTGGTAGGCATCGATCGCCTCGGTCGTGATGTCAATCAATTCACTGCAGCTCTTGGATGTCGGCTCCACCGGGTGGTTGAGACAATGGTCGACCGTCGTCCTTGGTTCAAACTGTGCGACCCATTCCCCAAGACAACCATAAAAGCCTGGTTCCTGTTCGATATCGATCAAGCAGCCACTTCTCTCACCCAAGGTGGTGATGATTACGACCTCCTCCTCAAGTGACTGGTTGTGATGATTGAGGTTGTTCAACTCAAACTGCACTACCTACTGATCCATGCAGGCATAGACATCTGAGCGTTGTATGAAATCGATCGAGTCATCATCGGAATGGCTCTGGTCATTGTGTGAGAAGGGCAGTGTTCTGGGCTTGGAACAGTAGTTCAATTCAGCTAATAACTACTTTGGTCTCGAAGGCCCTAGTTGATCCTCTCAACCTCTAGGGGAAGGCTGGGCTTCGAGGCCTTCTTATGCCAAAGGGAAACGGTACGTATCCAGCACATACGGGTCCTTGTCACCTAAGGCTCCAAGGCACCTAGCGATCTGCATACATGTAGGTCTTTCTCGTATGACACCAGGAGTGTGGCATATGTCCGTGTGACACATTGGTTGACGGGTTATTGTCAAGATCAAACCGCGTGGCCCATTCCTCCAACAGGCGTAGACACCTGGCTGTTCTATGAGATCAATCAAGTCGTCACTGAGCTCACTCAGGTTAGTGGGTGTGATCTGAACCGACAACTCCTCAAGTGAGGAATCGCGGACCTCGGTCTGGTAGTTAAGTTTGTACGTCCGCTCTAACAGCCCGGCAAAAACACCTTGCTCTGGTCCTTGCCCTTGCTCTGGTTCTTCCTCCTTTTGTTCGTCGACGGCCTCTTCTTCCTCTTCTCCGCGCTGCTCCCATCGTTGATTTTGTTGCTTCTGACACTCGCGAAAGGCCTCAAACATCTCCCGGGCCTCATCTACTACTCCACCTCCCCCCTTAAGGGAGACCTGGTAGATCTGGTCCGCTTCATATGCGCACTTCTCCTGTTGGTGCTCGCGGAAAGCTTCGTACATTGCCCAGGCCTCTTCTTCGTTTCCTTCCGCGCCATCGACAAATACTTGGTAAATCCACTCTTCGTCACGTACGCGTTGCTCGTCGCTGTCGCTCGCTGACACCGTATCGACCTCATATGCGCCTTTTTTTTTTTTCCTTTTTTTTCGACAACCATACCCTTCTTAACAGTCATACTGTCGAACCAGAGATATCCTCGAGTTTCTTTTGCTTTCCCAGCTACGAGAATCAGGTGGAAGTCTGGAAGCTTATTGTCGTAAAGCTCGAGGTTGAACTCATCATTAACGACCCAATAGCAGTGCTGGCTACCGAATCTTACTTGGCGCCGTACCCAGAGAATGTCTCGATGGTCTTTGGTAAGAATGATGCGGTTAGGTGTGTGTGGTACGAGCGTGTTCGCATCTTGGTCGTCTTCGTTAAGGGTTTGGGTGAATACCGCAGCTGTTCACAATAGGAACCCCAAGTTTCATCCCAACTCTGAGCATGAACAGGATATCACTGCGGCTTGTTCCCAACATGAACCCAGCTGTTCATCCCAAGACTGAATGGGATAGCAGTGCAGTTGGCGGTACCATTGTACATCGGATGGGCGTTCGTCGGAGTTCACCATTTGGTCCGGCCAGCCAGACTAGGGGAACAGCTCCGGGATGACGGCATGCCGGATTGGCTCCATGGCCGGGCTTCCTGTGGGCAGTCCGGCAGGCCCGCCAGTGCGCGTCCCACACGGGCCAAACTGAGAAGATGAATAAAGGCATCGAAATCACGGATAAGCTATACAAGTAAGTGTGTTATTTATAAGATATTTCGTTTCCTGTGTCAACTGAAGCCACGCTGATTATGTCGCTGCTCGATGTATAACACGCGAAGCCACCCTGTTCACGCCTTACTCATCGCCTTCCATCATCGTCTTCTCCCAATTTCCTGCATCCCTTTCAGTATCCACGCGTATTCATCAAGAAGCTACGCCAAATGCCGTTTCTCCCACACTTATTCCAGTTGAGGCCATCCCCGTGCCCGTCCTCCCTCTTCATTCCCCTTGCTTCCACTCCAGAATTGGTCCGTCAAGTACGTCTGATAGCTTTCCCAGTCGCTACCATCTTCCCCCTCACCGTTGAACTCATTAGTAACATATGGTTGCACAGCGGTTCCAGGAACAGGGCCCACGAAGGTAAGATCACCAACAGCCGGTTGCCTCCGATTCCAGGTGTGAATTCGCAGCGCATACATCCCCGGATGGCGGACGACATGGAAGTAGTCGTCGTCGATATCTGATGGGGACGAGGAGCGGGGTTCGGTTTTGCCCTTGCCGTGGGTGTTGCTGACTTCAGTCGTTGAAGTATTGCTGAAGGAGCCACCAGTGGATGCGGGCTGGGCCTTAACTGGCTCAATCACAGACGCGGCTTCCTGCCCGCACTCGTATGCACAGAGTGCAGGACTGTTGAAGAAAGTTCGCAGACGCCCTTACGTGATTGACTAGGCTGTGGGTGCATCTTGTCTGCTTGCCCTTCTTCTCGTCATTCCCAATCTTCCTCTCGTTTTTGATGTGTTCGTCGGTGTTGGCGCCGCTGTTGCCATCGTTGTTGTTTATCCAATTAACGGCGTCTGGTCGTCCCCTTTTCTCTGTGCTGTCCGGCTCTGGCGCATACTTATTTTTTTCTTCTTCCTTCCGCTCAGCCTGATTCACAATGCTCTCTTCCTGGTTATCGTCAAACTGTTTCGCCCATTCATCGAGCTGCTTGTAGGGATTGTGGGCCTTTGCCTGTTTGAGTTCACGTTGCATGTCGAGATATATATCGACGATTTCCTCAACGCTGTCACCGCTGTCAGAGGTAACATCAAGCTCGCCCTCGTCCCCTGCGCAGGTTCTGTTATTGTCACCATCTTCACCACTCTGTTCGTCGCCACCTTCGTTGCTGATCTGCTTGGCCCAGCTAATGATGTACTCGTACGGGTCGCTGACCTGACGGGGTTGTTTTTTAGACCCCATTGCTGTTCGATCTGTCACTGAATCTGACTCGAAAAAGGAGCAGGAAGAAGATAGGTTACTTATACAGGTAAGTGATCTAGGAAACAGGTCAAGCTGACAGTGCGTCAACCGTGGGGCTGGAGCTAGCGATGACTTCGGGTCATATCCCAACAGTATTACTTCGTCATGAGATACCCAGGTATTGTTCACATTGACTCAAAGTCTCTGTGACTGGGACAGGTCATATCCTAAGGTATGTGATGAGCTTGGCTGGTCACCGTTGCCATCATTACCTTCAATCACTAATTTGCTTGTGGGAAAATACGGTGGAGAGAAGAGACAATCAGCTAGAGATAAGGTGACAACCCTTCGGGCCTGAATGTTTGGGCATACTTTATGATTATTCCGCCTCTTGTGCTAACGATATCTTCGTAACTCTAGCAAATCTCTTCTTTTCCTTTTCCATCTTCCATCTACCTTCAACTTCGCACCCCTCCCACAATGATTCCTTGCTGCCAGGCATTCCATCTCCTGGTCTCAATTCCCTCGGCCTTCCATTCCACTCAGAATTCCCAATGCTCCACCACCATTTCCATTCTTTGCCATTCGTTTAAGAGGTTACCGCTCATAGTCGCCAACTTTGTCGCTCTGCCCGCCCACCTTTCCTTTTTGGCTGCTTCGGATTCCGCCCCATTACCTCCATCTTGATCCAGACCCAAGCTCAAGCCAACGTCATTGGTCGTTGTGGAATCGGTCCAGGAGAATTGATTTTGTGATGGGGCTTAACTCGTTCCTAAGGCTCCGGTTTATTTTAACTGCCGCCATATCGTCGCTAGGACTAGAAACCCAGGACTTTAAAGCATTCGGGTTTGTAGAGGAGAAGGCTCACGTCCAACGATCTACTAAGATGGATGAGAGAGCAAGGTCGACGAGAAGTCGGGAGGCAAGGTGGACGGCGATGTAGGGGAAGGCGGAGGGACGGGAGGCAAGTCAGCGACCGGGCTCGGTAACATAAATGAAGAAGGGCTTGGCGAAGGCTGGTCATTTTCGGTCGGGTCGGCAGTCTCGTCTTCCTGGTTTCCGTGATGCTTGGGGTTTGACGGGATAAGCGGGAGCGACGGCGCCTTGTAGGGAACTCTCGGACGGACGTTCTCCTTGTCGCTGCCGTCGTCGTCCTCTTTATCGTCCTTGTCAATGCTGCCATCCTTGTCATCATCGTCGTCGCTATTGTCGGCCTTGATAGTCTCAGTCTCACTGTCGTCCTCCACGGTGTCAAACTCATCGGTAATGTCGCGCAAACTCTTGTCGTCCATAGCGCCGTTCCCAGACTCGTCATCTTCCCTCTCTTCTTCATCCTCGAAAATATCGAAATCCAGGGCCTCGTCACCCTCGCCGTCGACATCCCCGCTGCTACTCATCTCATCTTCGCTGTCCCAAGCCCTTATGGTCGAGGCCTCGCTGTCATCATCCGAGATATTGTTGCCAACGGCATTGTTGCCCATTGTGCTGCCGTTCACGGTGTCGTCCTTGGAATCCACCTTTTGGTTCTCGTTCTCCTCCGGGTCCTTGAAATAACAAAATCTTTCTCATCTCTACGTACTTCCGACGGGCTAGTCAGACTCTCCTCTAAGCCTCCATCGGTCTCATCCAAGAGACGCGAGGATGTCGGCCTCTTGCGCCCAGACTGGTTGGTGCGATCGGCGGTACGAAGTGGTCTAGTGGACTTGAGATGCGCATCTTGGATGGGTTTGACGTCTTCCGCATTCGTCTCTTTGGTGAATCTCCTTCTGCCAACAAAGCTATCGGCTAGTCCGCCGTCGGTGTCGTCAAGAAGGCGTGCAGATGCTGGCTTCTTGCGCTTAGGTGTGTCGATGTCAATGTCGACTTTGTGATGGGCTGTTCCGATTCTTCCGGCATGACCGTCTTCGCTTTGCTTAAGCCTTTTTGAAGGCTGGCTGTCTTCGTGATCCTCGACATCAAGCTCTCGTTTGGCGACTTGCTTCGGCTCGGACTGATGGACCGACTTGAAGAAGTCGGTGATCTTTCCGGTCTTCGTGCTCGTGGACGTGGGAGTTCTCGGGGTGTCAGATTGTCCGGGCATTTTCGGTGGCGAATTTGGTGAGAGTTGCTATGTGTTTTGAGTGCGGTTCGCTGATGGACGTAATGAAAAAGGTCGTTGGCGGTAGAATTACTTCCACGGAGGTTGTTGAAAAAAGGAGATGGGCTCGGACACAGGAGGGAACGGGATTTGTTACATCTGCAACTGGCATTGAGTGAATGGGAAGAGGGTGGCAGCTTGCAAGAACCTTAGCCTGCCCTTTCAAGGTTCCAGAATGGCCTTGTGAATGGGGTCAAGTCAAGGTTCGGGAGGCCATACAAAGGCCGTCTTGCAGTCAGAACACGCCCCCCAGATGAGAGGACAGAACCTTGACGTCGGGCCAATATTGGGTCGATCGAGTGATGGCTTCGTGATGTTCTGCCGCATTGTTTTCGGTGTCATGGTAAGTAATCGCTCACTGTTTATGGGGTGATATACTGACTTATAGTAGTACAAATAATCCATGCAAAAGAAGGGTCGATGTTGCCTTTCGCAATCTCCGCTTAGTATGTTATGATACCTCTACGTACAACATGTCCTTCCTGATTTCCACACGTAAAGATGGCTTCTAACCAAACGCTTCAACAGAAAACACCAACCTGACCCTCGAGCTCCTTTTCTGACGCCTCCCCCAGCTTCGGTTGCCCGCCATGTATTAGTCGCCGGCTACCTTCTCCTTTTGCTCGACCTTATGACCTCCACCTTGAAGTTAGCATCACCTTTCGTGCAAAGATGTGACAAGCCATCGAGGCTGGTACAGCCAGCTGCCCTTTTCTGAGGCCTTGAAGCTTCTGAACTGTGGTTTGAACGAAGAGTCTGAGGCTTGGAGAATGACGAACCTTGACAGAGATGGGGGGCGAGACGGACTATTTATCCTCCGTATCATCTTCAGACTCGGACGGCAGCGCTACCGTGATGCTCCTGTTTGCAGGCACGTAGCTTGAGGAACATCCTTGATAACGACCGAGAGACTGGAGAGAGCTGGCGGGCCTGGTAGTAATCCGGCGCTCGCGGAAATACTTCAGTGATTCGCGTAGACGCTCTGCCTTGGTACCTTTGACGGGCACAGCGCGCCTGCGTTTGGTGATTTTGTTTCTGTCCGTGGAACTGGCCGCAACGAGGTTGGTAGAGGGTGAAGAGATAGTCGGGTGATCCGGCGCACAGGAATTCTTGGAAGCCGTTGCAAGTTCTGGCGAGGGCAACGTGCCGGACGTGGTTGTGGACGTGGTGCCGTCAAGAGGAGGAAGATCTGAGCTGTCCTTCGGGGCATTCTCGTTCTCGGTTTTCGCCAACTGCATCTTGGATGGGCTATCACTGCTGGTGTCCTTTGCGCTTCTCATGAGCTGGCTCGCCTGAGTTCCATAACTGGTTGCGACTGCGACATTGTTGTCGCGTCGAGGGAACGGTCTTCTGATCCTCACCATTGTGAGTGAAGATCGTGGCGTTGACGATCTCAGATTTCCAATGCCCTTGGAAGGATGCGAACTGCCCTGTTCCCGTTTTTGTTCTGGGGAAAGGGCTATATGGTTATGCACTACCGACATGTAAGTTTATAACCAGGTCGAAGGGGCTAGGAGTGAAGCAACATGGACCTTGGATACCCTCAAACCTGAGTCCATTTTCAAGGTGGCAAAGGTTGACTCTCAGTTCAAGGTTCGGACCGACTGCCCAGAATCACCAGTTCTGGTGGTGATACTAACGCCGACTCCGTCGGCCAGTGGTCGGGGAGTCGAAGAGATTCGCCTAGCAGAAGGAGACAAGGTCATGAGTGGCAGTTAACGCACCATAGAGTTGCATGTGATACGCAGGAACTACGAGACGGGTCACGGAAGATGGGACCGTTGATACCGAATGTTGAGTGGGAAATCCAGTCGACTGAAGCTGGAGAACATGGCAGGCTATATATATAGCTCGAGGTCACAAAGATTGAAGGTCAGCAAAGGAGAGGATTATGGGATGTGCAAGACGCGCTGTCGAAAGGACTCGCCAAAGGGCTGTTGGATATTCACCAAACGCCCATAGCCTTGATACAGGAGGTAGTACTAGTAGGCCGGTTTGGGTTCAATGACACTTTGAATGGCGACGCTGACAACCTAGCAGGGTATACATGAAACCGTCTTGAAGGTTCAAAATGACCATTGAACTGTTCCAGCTCAAAGATTGGAAGGCTGTATGAGGAAACATACTTGTGGAATAAACCAAGCTCAACCTACCTTTTTTGTTGTAGTATAATAGGTTAGTGTCATGATTATTATTGGAGCGCCTTATTGACGTAGGTATTTTCACAGCCATGAGGGTGTCGGGGGCATAGACTTCTCCGGGTTAACAAACGTATTTCACTATGCATTCTACAGAAAGATATGCGTCAATACCCCTGCAATAACCTCTTTTACATGCCGTGTTTTACGGCAGCCGAGCAAGGCTCAGGTGATCTTCCCCCTGCGAGCGCCAGGACCATGTACATTCGTTACTCCAGCTTCGCCGCATAGAGCTACCCATGCAATACCTCTCTTCTCCAGAAGGACTTTCCTCAGGCTTTCCATGCTAACAACATCACTAGGCGACACCGAGGAATTGTCGGATTGACGGTAGTGCCATGACCTAGGGCGAAGCCTCTTGTTCCTAAATCTCAACATCAACTTCAACATTCCATATCACTCTTTACGTTGCGCTTCTGAACAGAAGTACTTACCTAGGAACATGGTGAAGAGAGTCGTGAGGAGCTTAGAGAGCTAAGGGGACTGGAGCTAGGCTCCGAACACGGTTGCTCCCTCTTCTCCTGCTCTTCCTGGCCGTGGAGTTGCTTCAATGTTGAGTGGATGCGGCCGAGGAGGGTCTCGAAGATATTGTTTCGGATGCCGTTTTTGGAAGGGTTCTCAGATTTTGAGCTGTCTTTCTTCGAGGTAGACGGGCCATCCTTGTTGTCGATGGAGGCGTCTTCAAGGTCCTCAGCACGGCTTTTGAGGTGCTCGTAGACAGCGCGAGTACTGTCGTTCCAAAGTGCGGGGTCTAGCGTTGCTTTGATGTTCCGCGGGCTGTTTTCCTCCATGGCTTGACGAGCTGGAGCCGGAGTGTCTGCTGTACGCTTCTCATCTGGACACATCCTCAACATTTTCTTCAGTGTGGTGAAACCAAGGGACTCTTCCTGCATCCTCTTGGTCTGGGGTGCTGAAAAATTAACCACGGAGATGCCTACCCTCTGGCGCATAGGCGATGTTGCTTCGGAGTGTTCCATTGTGTGTGGAAAGACTTGGGTTCACGTGGTGGACAAAACGTTTCAGTCAATGAGGGTGTAGGGTTGAGGGAGTAACTTTGAGGTCAGCTTCTGCTGACACTAAGAACTTCACAGACCAATTCGAATGGCACTTGCAGTAAATGGACACGGTCTTGATCTTTCCACCTAAGCCCATTCACCAGGTCGTCAAGGTTCACTGCCCGTCGATGCCGCCGCCTGCGCCATTCACCTGCCACCATGGCATTCAGGACATCCGCGCGACAAAGGTTGACAGAACAATGCATGGCTTGGAGATAACGAGAGCAATCACAAGCCGGAGAAGCGATGTAGCCATTATCGCACCGGAGGGATGATATACAGTGGAAGTGAAAGGTATCTCGTGCACGCAAGTCATGCTAACGGACATGCTGGACGGTGGTGCTGACGACGCGATAGGCATACATGCCTGTATTCTCAGAATGACAGGAAGGTAGGCATCAAGCCCTCGTTATATTCTCACCACCGCCTACTACCCTGTATCCCAATGGTGGTATTGAACTTGGAGTGTTTTATGATGCTTCTGTCTCCTGCCTATGAACGAGGCCCAATGCATTCGCCCAAAACAAATTGTTGCGTGCCTCCCAGTTATTTCTTCCACCTTGTCACCTCCCTATGAAAATCCCACCACACGTAAGCGCGTGCTCTTGGTCAACATACATGTTCCATGCCGTCGCTTCCCAGTATTCATATCAACAATCTTGCTTCCCGTTCGTTCCTTACTCCCTCTTCCTCGACTCCTCAATCAACTTGCCTCAGTCCTCCGCAGACGACTTCTAGGCTTCGACTCCACCGGCATTGTCGTCGTGATCTTCCCGGTTCTTTTCAATCTTGTTGGGCCTTGGTGCCGGGAACGGCTCGAGGAGGGGCTTGGGAATGTCCGCTGTTGAGATTTGCGTGACCGCTTTTGCACCTCCTTTTGCACCTGCTTGCTGTCCTCCTTGCTGTCCTCCTTGCTGTCCTCCTTGCTGTTCTCCTTGTCGTCCTGCTTGTCGTCCTGCTTCCCCTCCTGCTTGCCCTCCTGTTTCTGCCGTGGCTCCCGGGTAGTACTCATGCCTCCGCTTTCAGAGGGTAGGAAGGACTTGCTGTACCAGCCCTTGCTGTGGCGACCTGGACGTGAGGGGCGCGCTGTTACGATCCAATCGTTGAGC